ATGAAAACGACATGGACAAAATCGCACAACGATGCTTCAAAGTACTGCAAAGAATGGAAGAGTGTCGAGGAATCAAGAACGGCCAAAAGTATTGCACTCGAGGTCTGGAAGGACACACCACGCTGGGATCCATTAGTAAAAAGAAAACAAGAACAGCTGCGTTCGCAGCAGTACTAAATGAGCAAGCAAGGCAATGGAACAAGAACGAACAAGTCGAGATTCAAGCCATTGCTCATGCATACAGAAAAACCAGCGCAAGCAGCCAAATGTGGGCTCAAGTCATTGGCAACCAAGACCGACAGGACGCAGATGCTTATCTCTACGAAGATGAAGAAGAGAACGACGATGTTGATGCGACTACTACGGCAGATTCAATCAAACCCGCAGAGGGGTCGGTTTTCAAAAGCCCCGTAAGCCAAAAACGAATGTTGAGTGTAGAGAGCGCAGCTATTACCATGATCCAGCAAGGAGCAAGGGCGGCATGACGAGTTTCGACTCATTACTACTATACCAGTTCGACCCATCATGCATCATAACATACTATAGACAACACTACCGGTGTTTCCGAAACCTTGCTTAGATACCGGTATACATTGGTACTTGGTACCCCTGTTACCTGGTGCAGTACCTTCGACCCCTCTAGTAATCACCTTTCTCGATCCCTTCGAGTCAATTAGTCTTCCGTAGCAATCATTGTGAGTGCGCACTGTACAATCTCCCTAGAAGTAAAATCTATCGGTCTTACAATTGTGAGCTAAAAGTCATTACTCTACTTTCTATTCGTGCTTCTCAGTCATACACAGCATCTGGTATCTTGCTATGACTGCACTCAGCTCACTTCTCCTTTTGTATTGATGTTGCTTCGGTCTTATCAATACTTCTTACATCATTGTCAGGCATTGTTCAATGTTACGTAATAGCACTCTAATGCCTCGTTTTGTGTCCCTGTGTGTCATTCTCCATTCTCCAAATATCTCAAAATACATCTTCAACAGATGACTTGTAATCATTTCCGTTGTCTATCTCCGACAGGTTGCTAAGAAAACATGATATGCACGAAACTTAAAAATCACTCTTCCAGCAATCGTCTCGTTGACTCATTTGCGGTGAACGGAAGGATAAAAGTAGAAGGAATGGTACCTACTGTACATACCGTGTCGAAGAGGATAACCTTCCGCTTGTGTGTTCGTGTTGCTACTTTATTCCATTTTGACTTTCTTCCTTTGCTTTCCGGGTTTAGAATTCGGGAACAAAGCATCGTCGCTATATACGTAATGGAGTGAGTTTCAAGCACATTACAGTATATTTATCGTACCAAAAGACACCACGGTTATAGTCTAAACCTCCACCTCCCACATCTGGTGAACCAAATCCGAGTGGAAGGACAGACACATGGAATAATTCACAAGTTCAAATGCTGTATGATACTGAATGATACGATGGTCAGACTAACCGTGTCGGTGTCTTTTGGTAAATATGATGTGCTTGTTTGGAACTCCAAATACTTTTTTATCCTAAGGTGGAGCAGTGGGATTCTCCTACAGCGCCCCCTTTTCATTTCGGCTTTGCAGTTTCTTTGCAGAACAATAACGAAAACGTAGAATTAACGCGCTGTTTCAAAACAATTCGCAAAAACGCCGAAATTCCCACAGCTGTTTCTCCAATACTATTTGGGGGAGAGTCCCACTGCTCCAATTCGATGCTCAAAAGAACCATTGAGAGCTTACTCTAGACCTTCTTTTTACGAGCAGTGAAAGTTGCAGAAGGATTTCGAAAGAGCGTTTGAGCTACCATAATATATTATAAATTTGACGTATAATTTTTTTTGAACATATCCTACCGGTATAGGTCCTACCGGAATGGTCCTACTATGATAATCACAATGATTGGAAAACTTTCGTCTCGAATGTCCAGGCAGTTTCTAAGGGGGTATGCCACCAGTAAAGCACAGACGCTTACTCTTCTGTCAGAAGAGTATTATGGAAGCGAGAACCACAGATGTAAGACTAGGCCACGACTTACTAGTAATAATAGAGTTTGATCTGCAAGAATAAGACAATGCGGAAGTTTCTCAAGGAGCACACCTAATTTCAAGGAGAAAGAATGAAACTATGCCACAAATTTTGCAAATCAATATCTGTTTATATTAGGTCGTCTCTTCTTCGTACCGGTACAGAAGAAATGATGACTGCTGATAACGCAGCTCAGTGCTTAGAATTGAACACTCAAAGTATCACAACCCTGAAAGAAAAAGAAAAAAGTGACCATCTACTCACTTTTATGGAAATTGATGGCGGCAAAAGAAGCATTGGGATATTGAGAACTTCGCGAAAAGCGAAGTTCAAGAAGGCTTTTGAGAGAGCGTAATCACACTGAAGGGTGGACACGATAACGAAGGATATAAAAAGGACGCGATAGGAGTGGCGAATACGTATACTACATTTTTTAAAATATACCTGAAGTATTGTCCGATCAAGATTTTTATCATACCGTACCAATTCTGAATGACTGACTGACCCATTGACTCATTCGTTGGAAAATTTTCAACCGTCAACTGTTGTCTCACAACTTTCTTGCAAGTGAATGCGGAAAAGCTCACAATCTACGGGTTCTGTCCTGTTGCCAACCACAACCACTCTTTACAATCCCATAAAACCACCACCATGACAACCGCACTCAAAAGAGGAGTGACCATCAACCCAACTGTCGAAGTTGCAGAAATTTTGAGCATCTATGATTACACCCCTAACGAGATAGCAGCTGCTTGGTATGATGAAGACGACATGGACAAAATCACCCGACAGTGCTTCAAAGTACTACAAAGAATGGAAGAATGTGGAGGAACCAAGAACGGCCAAAAGTATTGCACTCGGGGTCTTGAAGGGCACACTACGCTGGGCTCCATTAGTAAAAAGAAAACAAGAACGGCTTCGTTCGCAGCAGTGCTTAATGAGCAAGCAAGGCAATGGAACAAGAACGAACAAGCAGATATTCGAGCTATTTCAGATGCATACAGAAAAACTAGCTCAAGCAGCCAAATGTGGGCTCAAGTCAGTGGCATCCAAGATCGACAGGCCGCAGATGCTTGCCATAACGAAGATGAAGAAGAGAACGACGATATCGATGCGACTACTACGGCAGTTTCAATCAAGCCCGCAGAGGAGTCGGTTTTCAAAAGCCCCGTAAGCCAAAAACGAATGGCGAGTGGTTTGGAGAGCGCAGCTGTTTCCATGATCCAGCAAGGAGCAAGGGCGGCATGACGAGTGCTGTCTCATTCCTATACATTGTAACCCACTATAAGCAACCTTATTACATTCCTGATCGCGAAAATTCAATTCAGCCAGTCTACCTATGTACCGGTAAACTTTGGCCCTCTGACCACATTCGTGGATCCCTTCGAGCCAATTAGTTGCTGTGCTTATTCCATCAAGAGAACCGAAGCAATCCTTGTGAGTATCCACTGGAACTAAATAATCATTTCCGTTGTCTATCTCCAAAACGCTACCGGTAAGAGCACATGATAACGGAAGAATGGAAGTACAAAATAGTACCGACTGTACACACAGTGTCGAAGATAGCCGATTTGCGCCTTCCGCTTGTGTGTTCGTATTGGTCCTTTTTTGCATATTTCATTTTTGCTGACACCAACTTGGTCGGGGATGAATGAATAGACAGAAAGAAACAAACGTGAATGAGTCACTCTCTAACTATTTTTTTTTAAATATTCGGAAGACCTCATAGATCCGGATTACGGGAATTGAATGTGTCCCACCCTCGTTGAGAATAACTTGGAACTTTTCACAATAATGAGTCGGTAACAAAGCTTCGTATCTTACCGGTATTATTTATTTTAAAATATACCTCGCTGCTCAAAAGAACCATTGAGAGCTCGAAAGAAAAGTGAAATTATACAGTAGAATGCCTGTCGAAAGGGCGTTTGAGCAACCGTAAAATTCGCGGAATAAATAATATAAAATATAAACATATATAATTCCATAAAATGGCCCATGGTGAATGACTGATTAGAAAAACTTTCGTCTCTTATGACCATAGGCAGTTTCTGCTTGGATCTCACAACTTGAAATCAAAGGACTTCGGAAAGGCTCATCGTAAAGTACAGTAACAGTACAAGCTCTGTCCTGCTGCCACAACATACAATCCCGCAGAACATGAATCAACCGCAGTCCGCCATGACAACCACACTCAAGAGAGGAGTAACTATCAACCCAACTGTCGAAGTTGCAGAAATTTTGAGCATCTATGATTACACCCCCAGCGAGATCGCAGCTGCTTGGTACAATGAAGACGACATGGACAAAATCACCCGACGGTGCTTCAAAGTACTACAAAGAATGGAAGAATGTGGAGGAACCAAGAACCATGGCCAAAGGCATTGCACTCGGGGTCTTGAAGGGCACACTACGCTAGGATCCATCAGTAAAAAGGAAACAAGAATAGCTTCGTTCGTAGCAGTACTGGACGAACAAGAAAAGCAATGGAACGAGAACAAAGATTTTGATTTCCAAGCCATTTCAGATGCATACAGAAAAACTAGCTCAAGCAGCCAAATGTGGGCTCAAGTCATTGGCAACCAAGACCGACAGGCCGCAGATGCTTATCTTTACGAAGATGAAGAAGAGGACGTCGATGTTGATG